TCATACCAAGGGCGGGGATCAAACCGAGGTGGAAATTTGTCTCAAAACAATCGTTGCTACAACTGCGACCAACAAAATTTCACAAGAAAACATTTGGACAGATGTCCCGCGAGGGGAGCTACATGCAATTTTTGTCATAAACTTGGACATTTCGAACGTACATGTAGGGGGAAGCGTGGAAATCAAGGAGGACGGGGATTTGTCGGAATGATACGGGAGAATGTTGACGATACACACCTGGAAAATTCGGATGATGAAGAAGCGTCGCAACATGCAACTTCCATTGGATGGGTTAATAAGAATCCAGTGGTACATTCGTGGGACTCAAAGAAAGATGGGTCCGTGAAACTAGCGCTCAAGTCAAGGGAATTAAATAAACAAGTGCATAAGAACAAATACCAAACGCCGAATATTGAAGAATTAATGGACACAGTGGGACAGACGATTAGCGAAAAAAATCAGGAGACATACAACGATGGATCTAACTTATGCATATGGCAAATTACCGTTAAACGCTGAAACAAGTGTACAATGTAATTTTTCTCTCATTGGAGGCCGCTCGACGGGTACGTACAGGTTCAAGACCGGATTCTACGGTCTAACTACAATGCCCGCGGAATTCCAACGCGCAATGGATTGTATACTCGCAGAATATCCACAGGCGCACGCGTTCATTGACGATATTTTGGTCGTGACCAAGGGAACCGCGATTGACCATATAGCAACAGTAGAGAAATTTTTAAAGAAACTGGATCGGGAAAATATGTCTCTAAAACTAACCAAATGCAAGTTCTCCCAACGGGAATGCGAATGGCTAGGCCATAAAATAACATCCACTGGAATAACTCCATTAGTTAGAAAAACAGAACCGATGGAGGCGCTAACGCCGCCGCGAACTCTGTTGAAATCGTTCATGGGGTCAATACACAGCCTGCACAAGAATCTAGCGGCGCTAGCTGAATCCTCCGCGCCGTTGTGACCCTTATACATTATATAAGAGTAATGAATACATTTGGACCCCCGAATGTCAGAATGCGTTCGAAAATCTTAAGAAACAAGTGTCGAATATTGCTGAACTACGACATTTTGATATCCACAAGGACATTCGTAAAGTGTGCGATGCAAGCCATAACGGGCTCGATGCGGTGTTGGACTAGTTAGGACCAGAAGGGTGGCGCCCAATTTCGTTTGCCTCGCGATACATTAACGAAGCGGAAAAGAAATATTCAACAAACGAATTGGAGATGTTGGCAATTGTGTGGGGGGCTGAATATTTTCGAAATTACATATTGGGCCAGAATTTTTTAATCGTCACCGACCACAAAGCGTAAATATCCCTTTTGAATGGTTATAATAAGAAAAACAAGACGATGTTTAGCCGTTTAACGCGCTGGTTGGATCGGCTTACTCCCTTTGATTTTCGAATTGAACATAAGTCAGGGTCAAAAATTGGATTGGCGGACTATTTATCACGTCACCCAAGTAGAGAAGCAACGCCAATTATCACGTATGATAACATGTTTACTGTGGCAAAAATCAACCTAATTTGCACCGCTCTCGGTTTTAATGATAGTAATACAACCGGGGGATACAAATCATCCAATTAAAAATCCAAGGGACCGCATATCACAGCGGAAAGTCAGCAATCTATAAATAGATTGGAAGTTTCGTCACGAGATGAACCGGTAGAGGGCGGAAAAACATGCGAGCGGAATTTGACCAATCAGATTCGAAAACGTGGCTTAAGCCGACGGCTACGCGAAATACGCAGTAGATTAGTTGGTGCTATTGCTCAATCGGAAGAAAGTTGTTTACAATTATCAAATTTTAAAATTCAAAGCTCAAAGTCTCAAATCGGAATGGATAGAAGTATGCAAAAATGGCAAAAAAAGTTTTAAAACAGCACCCTAATCTAAATAGCAGAAGCGATGAGATTGAAGAATTACCGCCGAACGTATCCCTGGAAGCCATTACTAAAGAAACAAAGTCAATCCGAACAAACACAACTCTTTAGTTAACTGCAAAATTGTTAATAAAATTACTTCCATACCTGAATTGTTTAATCTAAAGTTCATTGAATCCAATTATGTTTCTGACCCCCATTCAGCGCAATCCGCGATCTCATAGTTTCCCAAGATCCTAACATTCATGAAAAAGTCAGTGCAATGAACCGTTATTATTCTCAATTTGTTAACGACTTTTTGGTGAAGGAGAACGTAGTGTCAATGGATGAAAAACTAGTAATACCCATGAACCTTCAAACTGCAATTAACAATAGAATTCATGCTTACCACCACGGAAAAACGCATTTGTTTGATACAGCAAAAGACGTTTGGTACCCTTATATTTACCGATCAATAGCTTCCATGGCCGAAGAGTGCCCCGAATGTACCGCCGCCGATAAGAACTTAAAAACGAATGAGTCAGTCCAACTAGATTTTTGGGGTCCCATTAATTATTCAAATGAATCCCGGAAATATGTATTAGTGGCGGTCGATCCTTTTTTCTCGTTGGCCATCGGCCATGGTCTGTGGAAATAATCGGTCTGATATAATACTGAAGTTTTTAAAAAGTTTTATAACAAATCATGGGGTGCCACGGAAAATTCACGTAGATCAGGGAACGAGTTTTATGTCAAACGAGATTAAAGCCTTCCGTAATGGGGAGGGCATTGAAATCATAAAGTCGCCAGTCAATGATCATCGGGCAACTGGGTGCGTCGAGCGTACTATTGGCAGTCTTAAAAATTCTATCCTGACTTTCGCCCAAGAAAAACATCCCGAACCCTTGGAAAAAATGGTTGAAAGGTCCCTTGGTGCACTTAGATTTTCGAAGAATTCAACACTAAAAATCTCGCCATTCGAGGCGCATCATGGTAGAGAAGCAAACGCGGTCTTACGGAACCTTACAAAAAAACCATCTTTTCAAAATCTGGTTTGGTCACGGGTTATTAAAACGAAAAATGCTTGTTTAGATGCCGCCGATCCTAATGCGCAGAATATGCCCCATCCAGCTGATACAAACTGGAGTGTACGATCGGACTTAGCATATGACATCAACCATAGGAGCCACGGACGCGGGTTAACCGATGACCAATCCGCCGACCAACACGACGAACTGTCGATTCTAAAACCCGCGAGCACCGGCGGACAACCAGAACCATGTGGATTGTTGTTCCAGCGAACTGGAAACAGGAACCTAAAAAGGAATAAACAACTTCATTCTAAAGTAAAATCCGAAAGTACGCATACATTAACCTTAAATAATGGGGTTGTGCTTAGAAATTTGGGAGTGGCTACGAAGCCTAAGTCAAAGAAATCAAAAGCGACATCTCATTCGGTATTACCGGTACCACCGCCAACTTCGCGTGAGGTTAAAGAGCAAGCATCTCATTCCGTATTACCACCGCCAACTCCGCGTGAGGTTAAAGAGCGAGCTACTCAACGAATTGTTTCGGACAGACAAAGAAAAAAAACCGGGCGCCGATTTGAGAACAGTGGTTCTGAGTCGTAAGACAGTGACGATTTGCCAATTATTTCGGTAAAACGGGCTAAACAACCATCAACTGAAACACCAAGAGCACAAACAGGACCAACAGCAACAACAGCAACAGACGTGGATATTGGAAGCGCCATGGCTCTAGGCGGAGATTTGGACAAAAATCCAAGCGATCAAACAACGTCCAATCCAGGGGACCAGACACATGCAACGTCATTGCCAGGACCTAGTAAAGAGAAGGGACCAACAACAAGCAAGGCCAGGCTGGTATCATACAGCAGTCAATGAGATAGCCAGGACGAAACAGCATCCACGACGTCTCGAAAAAGCGGACGGAAGAGAACTGCGGTCACCAAGATGGGGGGTGTGATGATTGATTTCATCAACCAAAACGAAAAAGAGGGGAAAATATGAAGAAGTGACCTAAAAGAAACTAGTAAAACTTTACCACATTAAGACTTTCTAACCCAGGGAGAGGGTGGGTCATTAGTGACTTAAAACTCAAACGTCATCACTGCTCAGTGATCCTTTTAGTTGTTAAAATTTAATGTCATAAAATCTAAATTGTTTTTTCAAACATGCAGTTAGTAATTCCTATCAGTCATTTATAATCAACAGGTGCCGTCATATTTTCGATCAACTAAAGTTTCATTATTGAAGGGGAAGTGTCGTATAGTGTTATTTAGTTCACATTGCAAGCTGTCAATCAACTGTTCACTCTTGATGCTAAAGTAGTCGATTAGCAGGTGTTTGTCCTTGGAACAGTCTGTCACCCTTGGATACTGTTTACAACCACTCTCTATGCTAACTTTATAAAATTAAGTTGACTAACTTTGTATTGGAATTTACGATCGAACGACTAGCGTTTTCACATTCTCAAAACTTCTCATTTCATTTTAAAAAAATTTGAAAAATTATTTCGTTCTAGACTTAGAATCAAGCGTCAATTTGATCTGATTACTTTTATTTTTTTTTGTTTGATCAAATTTGTGAAAATTTTGTTTCAAAATCTGTATCTTTTCTGGGCGCCTGGTAAACATTATTCAAAAGTTGTGGGAGCTCTTTACTCTTTGGATTGTTCCACTAATCGTTATGGAAAAATTATCAGCGGCTTTCATAATGATCAATTTTTTTCCAAATACGAGAAGATGTTTTGGTGTCATCAGAATTGCATATTGGCAAATCAACCTAATGCTGTTGTTAAAGCCTTAATTTTTCACTTATTTCCTTTTTTCTTTAAACTTTTCTTCAAAATGCTTTGCACCTTTCGTACATTAAAAACATAATCGGTGCTCTATACAACTTCTGTTTTTATTTATTTTTAATGTTAACTCAAAAGTGTTCACTAAATTCGCGTATCGCAAAAGCAGCTAGCTTATTCTACAAATGTTTATGCTAAAATTAGTTTTTTCAAATACAACAATAATGTCATGAAAAACACCAAATGCTACGTTTATAAATAGACCACGAAACTGGTTCATTAATTTGGTCTATAACTTAGATAATTGTTTGTTCGTGAATTGAAAACTAAAATTAACTCTGGTAAAAATGCGACTTGTTAATCTGAGTCGTTCTAAATGAAGCTATCGGTCACCTGCTTCGAGAGAAGCTTTAGAAAGCTAAGCAATCATTGAACCTTTTCCTTATCTGGTGAAATTCGTCTTAAATTTCATTAGAACCTTCTTTCTTCTCAAAAGCGAAGCAAGCGCATTAAACAAAGAATCAGCTTTAGTTTGTGATCTCAAACTTTATTTCTTTATTTTACCATAAAGAACTATGATTCGATCAAACTTAATTGGAATATGCTACGGACTGGGAAATGCTTTTTGTCTGGCTCTGACTGGGTTTCTTGCTAAACAAATCAATGGCTACAACCCTTTGACCCTTATGGTTAGTTCTGGTTTGTGGTCAGTGGTGTTTTTGACACTTCTGAATGACGAGAAGTCAGTCTGGATCAACGTCGGCAGGATCCGAGAGAAGGGTCACGTGATGTCTTTTGTGGCTTCTGTCTGTTTCATGCCTCTGGCAGCTTTCTTTTTGTTCATTGCTCTTAATTTCATCGAGTATGCAGATGCTATGACCATTACACAGTCCAGTATTGTATGTTCAAGGTAAATGGTTCGCAAATTGGAGAATTATCCATGCAGATTCAGGTTACGACAATTGCCTCAGTTGAAACTTTCACTATGGTCAGGCCAGGCGAGCTCATTTGCATGACCGTTTTTAAAACCAAAAAAGGTCCCCTTCTTGTCAACGTTTCTAAAAGCCAAAAAATTGCACATCGGCTACGATGCGCCAGAAATGGATTCTTGGGGTTTTTCTTATAGTTTTGACAAAAATGCTTACGGCTTTGCTAAAAAATTAATGCTTATGTTGTGTCTTCTTGAATAATGTTTTCAAAAATAGTGCCAAAGAAGGTTAGTGCCAAAATAGTGCCTCCTGGGTGGTCAGTGAGTACCTATCCACCAAAGACCTCCCTTTTTGGTATTATTTTGCGACAGCCAATTTTGCTGACAAAACCCTAACTTTTTTTTAAAAACGCCTCCAGGGCCAACATGGAAAAAGTATCACTAAAAATACGTTGAAAAAATAAGGTAAGGCTTGCTCAATCAATATATCCTCCTTTTTAAGTCAATCCAGAAAAATGAAGCATATGTGCTTTTTGAGATTTGCAGATGTCAAAAAAATTTTTTTACTTTGAAAATATGGAAAGCGGTAATTGTTTCAGCATCCTTGCTTTTATCGTGCTGAGGGAACCTTTGAAAGCCGTCGACATTTTCTGCATCTCAATGGCTTTGGCAGGAGTGTTCCTCATCACACGACCTCTCTTCATTTTCGAACACTTCGGAGTGGAAAAGAGTTCACACTACCCCGTGAGAGAGATAGGGGCTGTGTTGTCCGCTCTGACTGCATTCTGTATTGCGGTGTTCGCTGTCGGACGAAGATGCGTAGTTTATATTGATTCATTGTTTCTTTCTACCTGTCAAGTAAGTCAAAAGTGAAAATCCGCATAAAACAAAACAAGACTACTCGTATCAAGGCGAAGCCCTGAATGTTCCGACTGCCTTTTAGGAATTATGGAGCAGTATTAACATAACAAAATTAAATGTAATATACAAAAAACGAAAAAAAAAATTTCTAAAATTTGAAATTTTTTTAATGAAAATCATCCCCCCCCCCCCCACACGCCATATCAAGTACAAAAGAATAGATTTCGCTCCTTGTAATAAATCAATTATGGCAAACAAGCTTCTTTCAACCAATTTAGAACGATTTCTATGACGGATTAAATCTCCGCTTACGCGTTAAAAGCGCGAAATACATCGCGCTTTAATTGACCCAAATTGGCCAAAATGACAAACTTTAAACCCCCATAACTTTACGAAAAATGATCACAGGTAAAATTGCTTTTCAAATTTAAGCTCAGGACGACAATAGTTTTCAAATGATATAAAAATATTCCGTCAAAAAAGGCTAGTTAAAAAGTCGAAATTTGTCTGAAGAAAAAAAAACCCACCCCGAGCACAAATATTCCGTTACTTTTGTATCGAAAGTCGGAACAATTAGTAATAAGATAAAAAATACTCGTATCACGGCAAAATTTTGCTCGTTCTGACTGTCCTTTCAGCTGTCTCGTGTGAACTTTGCTTGGCAATTTCTTTAAAACCGAAAAAAAAGGATTGAAAAAATCGGCAATCTCAATGTTTAGTCCAAAGTGATATATTTTGCAAAAACTAAAACATTATTTGGGCTCAGTTAGCATGTCTCATTTCAATTTGGGATGAATTGAAAGCCGGATTGAATCGCCAGAACTGCAACGCGTCAATAGCAATTTGATAAAACTTCAAACCCCCAAAACGTCTCAAGAAATAACAGGTGAAAAAAAATTGCAAAATTGCGCGCAAGATATTGACATCTTCCAGATATTAATTATTATGTTTTAATTTTTGTATTTTTTGTAGGACAACCTATAAGCAGTTTCATGAACACTCTTATTTTCATTCTAATATGGAAACTAATTACTTCCGAATTAATTCTCCGACTCAAAATTTGGAAAAATAACAGTTGACAATTTTTTGCGAATTTGCGCTCAAGATATCGACATTTTTCAGATATTAATTTCAAAATCAACTTTTTGCTTTCCATTTTTATAGGACAACCTAAAAAGAGTTTCATGGCTTCGCTTTGATATGAAAACTTTAACTTTTATTCCAATTTGGAAAACGATTACGTCCGAATTGTTTCTTCGGCTCGAAAACTATATTGAAAAAATCGACTACGATAAAACGCCCCACTCAAGCATGCCAAAATGTGATATTACCACTTTTTTTTATAACAACAAAAAATAACAATTTTTGTGCTTTATTACAAAATGTTTTTTGCAAAACTTTAAAACTTTAAAAATTTTTCAATAGTAGCAAGAAATTCTTTTATTTTTCAGAATATTTTTTTGATTGAACATTTTTTCTGTCTGAAAAAAAATTTATTCGTCAAAACTGAAAATCGCATACCGCTGGAGTAAAATTTAGATCAAAAACTGATTAATGACTATGAGAAAAAGGCGCATTAAAATATCCGATAACGTAAGCCGTATGGAACTTCTTTGCCAGGAAAAAAAAACTTTCTAGAAAAATTGCATTGAGTTTTGAAACCAACTTTTACGCTACTCACTGTGTAAAAGGGGTGGAAATATTTTTTTACTTAAGCGAAACTGTTTTTGACCGGTTGAATAACTCGAGGTCAAAGGTATTTCAAATAATTGGGTACCAATTTCTGCATTTTCTGATTGTGAATCATTAGGTTATTATTCAGGGTGTCTCAAACTAATTTTGGTTTAAAAAGTGAAGCAAAAAGTAGTATAGTTTACGCGTTCTCCTTACACCGATTCTTAAACCAACGGTGGCATTTTTTTGCATTTTTTGCATCCCTTAACTTTTTGTTCGGATCGATCAGCGCGATCGAAATAATGCTTCTCATCACAGTCCAAAACACAAGTCTCAGTAGTTATTAGTTAGTACTTAGATTTAGTTACAGTAAAATTGATTAATCATAGGCGAAGGGTCCCATTTTTTTCCTTTTCTGTTTCCCTCAGACAGTTGGTTGTATCAGTTGAAACTTCGAGAGAACTTTGGGCCTGAAAACGTTTCAGAACACTTCTTCGTGCAAAAAGGTTAATCAGAGATTTCTATTGTATAGAATAGAGGTTTTCTTTTGAAGATATAGTTTGCTAGGTTTTTTCAATTTTGTAAATGTCAATGAAGCAAGCAAGGAAAATTGATTATATTCGTAACCATCGTTAACGTTGAATCGTTAATCTGTTTTGTGTTTTTGCGCGTAAATCGCATTTCAGTTCATTTACTCCTTGTACAAACAGGTCTAGTTCAAACTCCTTGATGCCTTGAGATAAGGGTTCTTGCTGTTAGTCACATCAGTGACAGTTTTTAACAAAAACTTTTTATACCAAAATGAAAATATCGTCTCTCTGAAATCAAACGCAAAAGGATATTTTACCTCCGATCACTTTTTGCAAAGTTCTGAGAGCTTAAACATTGCCCATTTGGCCATGCTCAGGGCTAATTTAGGCGCGCTTTGAATATTTTATTTAAATTGCTGAAAATGTTTCGAAAATAATTTATGCCTGGTGAATTATCCCGCACGATACAATCATTTCAACTTGAATTGAGGCTAGCTAATCTGCCGTTTTATTTCGTACGACTCAATTTTTCATACTTGATCTTTTGTTTAGTCCAAAACTTGTAGTTTTCACGTTTCCTTTCCAAAAATTTATTCGTAATGGTTAAGGGGCAATAGGAACATTCAATGCTTTGCCCTGATACGAGCAGTCTTGTTGTTCCGACTTTCGATACGAAAGTAACGGAATATTTGTGCTCGGGGTGGGTTTTTTTTTTCTTCAGACAAATTTCGACTTTTTAACTAACCATTTTTAGCAGAATTTTTTAATATCATTCGAAAGTTATTGTTGTCCTGAGCTCAAATTTGAAAAGATATTTCACCTAAGATCATTTTTCGTAAAGTTACGGGGGTTTAAAGATTGCCATTTCGGCCAATTTGGGACAATTAACGCGCGATATATTTCGCGCTATTAACGCGTAAGCGGAGAGTTAATCCATCTTAGAAATCGCTCCAAATTGGTTACAAGAAGCTTATTTGCCATAATTGGTTTGTTACAAGGAGCGAAATCTATCCTTTTGTATTTTATATGGCGTGTGGGGGGATGGTTTTCATAAAAAATTTCAAATTTTAGAGAAAAAAAATTTTCATTTTGTTTTATTTCATTGATTTTTTAAAGGTTATTACTGCTCCATAAACCTTAAAAGGCAGTCGGAACATTCAGGGCTTCGCCCTGATACGAGCAGTCTTGATTCGTTTTCTTTGCGAAGTGTTAATGCAAATATGGTTTTATCGTGCACACCAAGCATCTCAATTTGGCCAAGTTAGACCTTTCCAAACACTAAAATCCAAAAATGGATGAAAAATGCTCTCTCAAATAGTAGGAAGTATTTTTCTTATTTCCATGGCCTAGAATGGTTTTCCTCGCTAGGATTTTCTGCTACTTGATTTGTATTGGTTGTTGTAAGTTTTTTTCTTCTCCACAAATATAAGGAGTTTCAGCAAGAATCATTTTGTTTTTCAATAAAACACAACTCTCAGCAAACTTTAAGGTTTCGTATCTTAAATCACCGTGGTAGGAATTTTCTGTGTTTCATACATATAAACTAAACTATTGCTGTTCCTTTGTTTTTGATCTGAATAGTATTCTGTATCCGTTCAGGGTTACATCACACTTCTTGTGGGCTGTCTTGGTGCTCTCATTCTTCTCCACTTGACTGGCAAACCAGTCCTGCCCCACTGCACTGCCCAAGACAGGTTTGTCATCATGGCTGCTGGATTTGTTCACGCCACTTGTTTCCTCTGCAACATCCAAGGCCTCTTTCCCAGTTTTTCAATTTTGTCTCAAATAAATCAACGAATATAAACTAATTATTAAAATCGTAACTATGGTTCAAAATTTTAATACTTGGAGCATCACTTGCCTTTTTCGTAACGCCGGTTTTATGCCATAGTGCATGAATCTTCAAAAAAGTTCATTTTGATGTTATAGAATTTTATCAATTGTTGTTAACTTTGATCATGATTTGGAACGAAAACGTTCAAAACTCTTTTGAAATGACCAAAACTGTGATCAGCATAAGGTTCTGAATGAGCCCTCTATGTATGATTTGTTTGAAATCCGTAAAAAATTTGGTTATAAAACTGGAAAAGAGTTCTTTTTTCCAGTATTCAAATATCTCAGTGTGGTCCATTCTACAACAGTGAAGACATCAGTATCCGCCTTTTCCTACGCTCTTCAGTGTATATTTTCAGTGGAGCCATTCTCGTGTTTGTCAATCAGTGGCTGCTGCTTAATCTTGGCCAGTGTTTTTCTGAAGTCTTACGCCAGTTTCACTTTGAAGGACTTCACCAAAATATTTTCGAAGGGAAACCAGAACCTTGTTTAGAGATGATAAAATAGTTTTAAGCCCATCTGATTATTTTAGTTTTTGCTTTGTGAAAAATTTATTTTCATTCAAAATTTCATATCCAAGTCCGATAACAAGCTATTGGTGTCGAACTTGACTGACCAACAAGCCAAGACTCAGGTTACAGTATGCTCTTGTTGAATCAACATTAGAATTATATCATAAATTTAACGCGATTACCCAGACTTTAGCGACAAAGTTTTGGCATGTCCAGACGTTCCAGACCAAAACTAGGCATGTACAGACTTTGGCGACCAAAACCTGGCATTTCCGGACTTTCGCAACCATGATGATCCGTCGCGACTTTCGCGACCGAAGCGGAGGTGGCGCGATTAAAACATCGCGACTCATATTTGGTATGTCCTGACTCTCGCGACCAAAAGTTGCCATTTCCAGACTTCCGCGAACGAGGTGCATACGGCGCGACTTTTCAGATCATGATGAAGACGGCGGGACTTTATAAAAAAAATTTCAGGGCCTTCGCGACCGATGTGGAGACGGCGCGACACAGGAAACGGCGCGACTTAAACAGCATCGGCGCGACCGGCATGGTCAGCGCGACTAGAAAGTGCACTTTCAAGTTTTTCGCGACCGAGGTGGAGACGGCGCAAATTTCCAGAGTGAGGCGGAGACGGCGCAACTTTTCAGACCAATGCGGAGACGGCGCGACTATAGGTTAAAATCAAATTAGATATGGCGGCAGAAATTAATGATCATCAACATCCTCGAGGAACGCTCAAAGACTCATACCACAAAAGAGGCAGCCCAATCCTTGTCGTGTGTTTAATGAGATTATTGTTACATCAATTCTACTACGAGGTACGAGTGCAAGCTACTCGGTTGGTCTTGTTTAAGGAGATAAAGCCATTTTGAGCTTACATGACACTTTAGCAATCCGAAGCGGTAAGAAAACTTGGCAATCGACCTAGTGCTTTGTTGTGTAAAGTCCTCAAGCATCCCCACCAGTTCAAGTTTGTCGATTGGTTCCTCGGGTGGTATCCACTTATTCCTTTTGATGAGGATCTCACGATACTCAATCAGAACCAAATTTTTTTAAGAACTCTCGTGTTATCAATGAACCTAGTCGCTCCCAGACGCCACCAATAAAGGAGGCAGCTGACAGATGATTTAGGCTTCATCTGCAGCATTTCAATTACCGTTGTTTTGTTTAAATTGATGGGTTTCAAGCAGATTTGCTTACGAGTGCAGACGGAGCAAGTAGCATTACAGAGAGTGTTAGCTTAGGTGTACCTATTCCAGCAATGAAGCGACAAGTCCTCGTTATGCTTTGTTTGTACCAAGAGTGTCTGTCAATTGTTTTTTTCGGAAGTGTTTTTCGTTATATGGCTTTATGTAGTCAATCCCTGTTTTTTGGAGTGAAAAAAAATACCTATATTGGTTTACTGGATTAAGCTGGCAGCAAGTGGACAGAATTGGAAGTAATCCACTGGCTTGGAACCTGCTGTAGAGAAAGCGATGATGAAATATCTGACGGAGTTTTTCTCGGAACTAAATGATGAAAAATCTTTGTTGCGTTCGTTTTGAACGTACTCGGTGCTGTTATGCTTACAACAGCAATGAATGCCTTCGGTAATCATGCCCACAATAGTTTCCTTAGCGTTATTTTGTCGAGTCTAATAAAGTCAATTTACGTAGTAGTATTAAGCGCGACAACTAGCGTTGTCGAGAGAAGGAAAAATTGTATCTCTGCTGTCAGCTTGGTGTTAATTTGTGTTTAATCGTAAGTGTCAACAAAAGCTTCTCGTTGAGACTTTTGTTTTTTAAAAAAATCTTTTTTCTTGGTTTTGTGTAATTGCTGAAAGTTTCCCGCCTCCTGTCCAAATTTTGATAAAACTATAACTCGAGCACTGAACCGTTGTAATCAAAAGCCGTCTAAAATGGAGAAAACGTATTTTAGTTGAGCAGTCGCGTGCTAATTGCTAAAGCGTTTTTTTGTTCCATGGCCTCGTTGATTCCTCAAAACATTCTTTGCTTAAAGAGATTCTGGTGCATCTAACTAGACTTTTGTTGGTTTTTTCTTTTTGGTTACCGCGTACCGCTTCTGCTGTTTTTTATCAAGAGATTGTTCAAATGATCATAAAGTAAGTATCTCAACCTCAATTCTGTTGTTGCAATAATTTTTCAGTTCACCGGGCGATGCAATACAGAAAAAAATTTGTTGTGCTATTTCATTTGCATTTGGTTGGATCTTCATTTGCACTTCATCGGTATCAAACTTGCACAGTCATGTGCTATATGTGCGGCTTCTTAAGCCACCTTTGATATACTTTCTTGGTTAAGTAGATCCATTTTTGGTCAGCCAACCAAAACAATAGCGTGTAAGCTTGTGTTGCCTGCAGTTCGGAATTAGATGGCAAGTAGCCTTGGCACTTTGCAACCCTAGAAAGCCAGCAGAACATAGGAAACTGTATGTCACTAGCTGACAATTGCTGAGACTTTTTGGTATTGTTCAAACCTTTTATTGATTACTGAAGGGAATTTACTGGGCAAAATTTGTAAGTTTTAGCTTCCACAAGTTATGCAGAATAAATTCAACTCTTAGGACGAAAACTGCGAGGAGACCCAGTGGGTTTTTCAGAAACGCTTGCTACTGTATAGAGAACTGTTCTGTTTGTAGAAGTTGTAGAAGTCATTTTCACCGTTGTTTGTTGCACGAATGTCGTTTTGACAGTTGTGTGAACTTGATAGTTAGGACCCTTTAGAACTCGAGGACGCTTTGTATCGTTTGTCCTGCCAAAAGAAACAGCAAATTCGTCCCTGAGGAAGGTTTAATGCGGCAGCTGAGCAAAACTGCAGAGCAAAACCTCAAGAATGGCAAAAGAGCGTGAGCATCTTGCACCAAAAGCAAATCGAGTGTATTAGTGTTTATTCATGAAAATTCTGTAGGCCAAAGAAAGCGAATGGCAGTTTGATCCTTTTTTTTGATATTTTTTGACGGAATTTTCCGGGAATTGTGGAAAAAAGCAATTTTTCTGTTTAGTACGTCTGGTCCAGTTTCTAGGCAACAAAATTTTGAGACGTTATCATATGTCAAAGCACTGTTCGCCGTCTTATACTCTTCTTTGATTTTGTTTGGATTAATCACCCGGCGCTGTGGGAGGTAGCAAAATTTTTTCAATTATGGCTATTGAAAACAAAAAAAACTTGACGCAGATTTTTTCAGATCAGAGTTTTGGATTAATCCATGGCAAAAATTGAATGGCAACTGGATCTTTGTTTGGTCATTTCGGTGCTAGTTATTGTGGTTGAGCGTTTAGTTGTTGGACATTTTCAATTCGCTTTTAAAGATTAATTTGCAGCAAGGTTCGTCGTGTTAAATGTTTGTTCCTTAGAAATTGGTTGTGTTTCAATCTTTCCAGAGAACGCGAAAGCTTGTTTTCTTGAGTGCTTCATTCCTCCACTTTATGCATTTTTTCATTTTTTTAGGGAAAGTTTTTATTTTTCAGTGTCTTTGATTTAGTCAATCGTGAGTTTCACTCAATCACATAAAATTTCAGGTTGAGCGGACTAAACTTCAAAAAGCAGCTGCGCTTACCAAACATTGCGTTGCGTTGTCGCCCAGATCAGCAAATGAAATGTTGGGGGCGAGTTTAGTGTGGGCTCTTTTTGATGTTCTTTTCATCGATTGGGTCAAAACTCAGTCTTTACTGAGCAGACTGATCGTAGAGTGAATGTAGATTTTATAAGCGCTATATGGTCCGACACTAAACTCGACAGAAAAAACACTTTGTCGTTATGGAAAGTGCCTCATACGCTGAACTGTAGTTATTGAATTGGTTAGGAAGGAAGTCTACCTTAATGAGCTTGTCAGAGCAGCTGCCGCTGGCGTTGATCGTTGCGTTGTCCAAAATGTGTTGTTCAGTAGGCATTGGCGTTGTCAAGCAGTCCAGTTTGATGCCATCGTTGAAAAGTATCGCTGGCATGAAATGCAACTCATTTGTGATGTTGCTCTCGTTGTGAAACAGTTATGTAGTTTGTTTTATTGTCTAGGTTTCCGTAAATTTCCAGCTTGAGAACGTTGGAGTTTTGATTGGGCGTTTGAAATAGTTCTTCATCAATGAAAAGAGTTGATTGATGTTTTCATTTCCATTTTTTGTTAAAACACCGTTTGACCGATGTGCATTACCTAAATCTGTGTCAGCCTAAGCAATTGAAGCAAAGTTTTAATTTCCATACCATCTGTGAGCGGTGATCTATTGGAAATTCAAAAAAGAATCTTCACATTTTTTCATGTTTTTTTCGCTTGGTTAATTTTTGGACAATTTAAAGATGTTGCTTTTATTGCTGCGCCAATAATCTGCTGTTATTTTAATTAGTGTTTGAGGTGAGCTGATTTATTCGGTTTTCAGATAGTTTCCGCTTCGTTCCTTAGTAGTTTAGTCCCGCTTGACTTGATAATGATGGCTCTTTGTCCAAGTTTCTGCTTTCTTGAGGGGAGTATTTCAGGAACTGTAGACAGGTTTTGAGGTAGCGGATTCGTTTTCAATGTAGTTTGTGGAGCACGCAGTGCTCTTATTTTTCATAATTAGAGTCTTCAGTAGCTTTGATCGAGTAAGTGTGGTCAAACTGCTAGAGCTGCGGTCTTCTCCGTAGCCTTTAATTTCGTAGTTTTGCACTTTTTTCTATAGAAAAGAAGTTTGTGTGGCGAAACACTGCGGTCCATTTCCAACCGACATGTCAAAACTTTTGAGTTCCATGATGAGAGCTGACACCACGTACTTTGGGCTACCGTATCTACGGACTAATTCAAGGATTGCCAGTTCATGCTGAGAAGAATAGGTTCCATAGCTGTCTATCAACTTTGTAGCACTATCAGTACATATTGGGTATAAATTTTTATTTTTCTCAGCAGGGCTCAGACGCGAGATTTCGCCTATCGCCGTCTAAAAAAGTTCGAACCAAAGTTTTTACTTACTGTGGGCTGAATTGTAAATTTGAAATTACGAATCTGTAGTTCCTGCCAGTTGTCAGATGGTTGGTAGCGTAGCTGCTGCTTTGTCCTTG